GTTAAGACTTGAGGGAGTTGGTACTCTAGGGTAATGCCTGGCACATAGTGAATGCTCAATAAATGGTATACCTATTATTAGGATTAGTATTAACATTATTCCATTATTATTTTTCTACCAGCTTGCTTGGCAAATGTCATAGGCTGCTACTAACAAAAACCAAAGCTTAGAGCTAAAACTGACATGGCAAAATTTTTAATAGACTAAACGTTGACAGAAGTATCACTTTCCTATTTAGATCTGCAAAAATTTGAACCAAGAAAAAAATTTTGAACCAAGAAAATTGGAAATGGTAGAAATAATGACCAAAAATGGATTCAATTACAGAAGCTCTAATGGGTCATATTTGAAATGGACCAAAACCCAGACAATAATAAAACTTCTAAATTACTAAATTTAATCTTATTTGTAAAATTTATCGTACATTACTCAGGGTTCTCCAGAGACAGAATCAGTAGGGGAAACATACACATACACACAAACACACACACAAAGAGTTTTATTGAGAGTAAATGGCTCATGCCATTATGAAGGCTGAGAAGTCCCATGTCTGCTGTCTGCAGTCTGGAGACCTGGGAAAGCCAGTGGCATAATTCTAGTTAAAGTTCAAAGGCCTAAGAGCCAGGGAAGCTGATGGTATAAATTCCAGTCCAAAGGTAGGAGAAGACCCATATCCCAGCTCAAGCAGGCAGGCAGGCAGGGAGTGAATCCTCCCTTCCTCCACTCTTTGTTCTATTCTGGCCCTCAATGGATTGGATGATGTCCACTCACATTGGGAGGGCAATCTACTGAGTCATCTGGAAACACCCTCAGACACACCCAGAAGTAATGTTTAATCTGGGCCCATGGCCTAGTCAAGTTAACACATAAGGGCGCCTGGGTGGCTCAGTTGGTTAAGCGACTGCCTTCGGCTCAGGTCATGATCCTGGAGTCCCAGGATCGAGTCCCGCATCGGGCTCCCTGCTCAGCAGGGAGTCTGCTTCTCCCTCTGACCCTCCCCCCCTCATGTGCTCTCTCTCTCTCTTATTCTCTCTCTCAAATAAATAAATAAAATCTTAAAAAAAAATAAGTTAACACATAAAATTAACCATCATAAGTCTAACCTTTGACAACTTGACAACCATGTGCATCTCCTTAAACCATACTTAGTCTCCACGTGAGGACAACAAGGTCATAATTCTGCCTAACATGATACGATTAGCCTGTGCACAACTGAAAATGCACTAATGCCTTCCCCAGAACAGAAGTTAAAGTCTTTCAGTGATGTTTTCTTGATGTCTTATAACTTAAATACTATGATGTAAAATTAACAATTGTTAAATACTTTGATATAAAGTCAATGCATCTTATATAAGGAAATAGGAAAGAAAACACACATACACATATTCATAGCAAAATAAGAAGGAAATACTCATGACAGTTACAGTCTACATTTCTGTCATGTGGTCATAACTACTATTTATAACTGCCATCTTCCACTACCCACTCTATTCCCTTTGCTTTCAACAAGCACTTCAGCTGATTGTGATTCTTTGTCTGGTGAGGTAACCCAGACCTTCATTCCTGAGGAATCTGGGCCATTAGTAATCCTTCCTAATTTTTCATTGACCTTAATCACAGGGCATGACAATACCAAGAGACACTCTAAAGGATCTTCTGTGTTCCATATATATTCTTCATTTCCACCTCTTGATTCCTGGATTTGTGAATTTTGATTGTGGGAGAAAAGGCACCATATATTGGACACTGATTCAGAGCACATTCATCATTCTGGAGAACCTTGCCCCAGCCCTGCAAGATACTGCCATTTGCACTGTAATTTAGTCTTCAAAAGGTCATTCCACCATTCTATCAAGTCATCTGCTTCAGAATCTTAGGAAACATGGCAAGACTAGTGAATTCCATGAGCATGGGCCCATTTTTGCACTTCTTTTGATATTAGGTGAATTTTTTGATCAGAAGCAATGCTTTTTGGAATACCATGACAATGAATAAGGCACTCTGTAAGTCCGTAGGTAGTAGTTTTGACAAAAGCATTTATGTGCAGGGGGGGCAAATCCATATCCAAAGTATTCCAGTAAGAATAAAATGCTGCCCCTTCCATGATGAAAGCAGTTCAGTGTAAGCAACCCACCACCAGATAGCTGGCTAGTTACCCCAGGGAATGAGGTCATTGTCAGGGGCTCAGGGTTGGTCTTTGCTGCTGGCAGATTGGACTCTTCAGCAGTGGCCATAACCTCGGTGAATGGAAGTCTGTGTTGCTGAGCCCACACATAACCTCCATCCCTCCCACTGTGGCTGCTTTCTTCATAAGCCTATTGGTGGCTGAGGAAAGAGGCTGACTGGTATCCACAAAATGGGTCATCCTATCCAATTGATTTTTAAAATCCTCTGCGGAGGTCACCCTTTGGTGAGCATTCCCATAGGGCACAAATAAATGTCTTCATGTTTTTTAGCCCATTCAGAGAGGTCTGTCTACATCTTCCATGATTTCTTTGTCACCACTTTTCCCTTCCTCTACATTAAACCAAGGCATGTCTGGCATTTCCAGTTCACTCACTGTGGGCCACCTTTTGGTCCATGTTTCAGCCAACCAAACAAATGCTAGAACCTTTTCTAACTCCCTAAGTTGTAACACTAAATGCAGAATCTCTTTTTAGTGAGCCTTTGTGAATATTAAGAACTGATTCCCATGAAAGTACATTTTGTCCAGTAAAAATGCATATGACTATAATTGGACAGGGCTAATTGCCATTTAGAAAATTGATAATTGGGTGAAGTTGACTTAGTGGAGTTAGACTCATTGTGGATACTTTATGCCTTTACATAAAGACTATATTAGATAGTAGATGAAATCACATAGGATGAATCTACAAAATAAGAAAACAGAAAACACAGTATTGAAACCCTGGGGACTGATAGACACATACACATGTACATATAGTCATACATACCTATATGAAGTAGTAGAATTGGCAGAGGCAGCAGGGAAGACAAGTAGTAGAACTATGGAGGAGTAGCACCTCAAAATCTAAGTAAAAAGTTTTAAGCCTGGTCAGTTGTGTTAAATTCCATAGACTGTCTAGTGAAAGTAAGAGCTGAATAAAAGGACTTACTTACCATTGAGTTTTTATATCATTAGTGCATATTGATGTTGTTAGTGATGAGAGCAGTTCCAAATGGTTGAGAACTAACGCTAGTTTACAGTGGATTGAGGAACAACCCTCAAATCAATGGGAAGTATGAAAGAAGAAATAATATGTGTAAACTATGGAATTTAGAATTTATCCCTTGAACAATAGAGGGCAATTAGGAATTTTGTAAATTTTATTTATAAAAATGTGTTCCCAATATTAGTACAGTTTTTGGGAGATTTCTTTGGTGCTTAGTTATATCCGTTGGTTTATACTAGATCACGTGATTCCATTCTCAAATGGGCCATCTGGGCTTGATGTTTTCCTGGGGATCTCCTAATATAGAATCTTGGCAAACAAACCTGGACTACAGGTGTCAGGCTTGACACTAGGACAGAAAATTCTAGTATTACTCATGAAATAAGCATGATCATTAAATAAAAATTATGGCACCTGCACTTTGGATGTGGTCATTCCAAAAGAGTGCCTTTTTCCTGTTTAGTAAGGTAAGTATTTACTAAAGTGATATACCTGTTGCAGATATACTCCTTGTATAGAAATACTGTTTTAATAGTACCAGAAAATTCCTAGGAGAGATAATGTGTACTACATTGAATTAAAACATCCTCATTTGTTTCATAAATATTCATTTAAAAAATCGTCTTTTTGGGTAGCTGGGGCAAGGGAGTATCATGTTTTAATTAAACATTTAATGGTTTTTAAATAAAGTTTTATTTTGACATTGGTCTTATTCCTAATGTATTAAAGAGTGAAAGGAACTATTCTTTACTCAAGGTAGTTCAGTAGGAGATGATTCTCTGTGACTATTTTGGAATTTTGAGTTGTTTCTTTTCTTTACTGTGTGAATTAAATGTGAACTGATAGTTTCTTTTAGGAAGTCTTACATAATGGTGAATTAGATGTCTTTTTGCTTTTTTAGAACAGCTTTTTATAGGAACTAGTTTAAAAAGGGATTTCTTAAGTGGCTGCATTGGTATTCATATTAAAGAGGAGAAAGGAAATGGAAAGGTTTTGTGCTTCCGTCGTTAATTTCTTTGTGCAGCATCTTCTTTTTCTGTTTCCAGCAGTGATTTTCATGCATATCCTTGAAGAGTTCTACATTTCTAAGAGCAAAGGCATTTTTATTCTGTTGGGATTTAGGATGGTTTACATTATTGTGGATGCCTTATTTTTATTTAAAAATTTGTATTTGAAAATAAAATTTTCAGTAAATGCGTATTTCCATATTGTATGACAGTGCTGTCCCATAGCAATAGAATGTGAGCCACATATGCATTTTAAAATGCCATGTTAAAAGGAGTAATAATTACAGGTGAAATTAGTATTCTTAAACTAAGTGTGTGTAAAATATTATTTCATCCTGTAATCAATATAAAAATTATTAATGAGATATTTTGCCTTTTTATTTCATATTGTCTTCAAAATTCAGTTTGTATTTACACTTACATCCTTTCTCATTTGGACTAGCAACATGTCAAGTGTGGGGTAGCCACATGTGGCTAATGGCTACACTGTTGTACAGGGCATGTCTATAGAGTCAGAATAAATTCTTAGTATCTGGATGGATGGAAAGATAAAAGGAGATATTTATCCTCTGTGAATTGGATTTGATTAGTATAATGACTAGTTACCAACGTAGAATAATGTGTGGCATCAATAGATACCAAGCCTGGACTTTTTTATTCTTTGGAAAGTTATTTGGAGTAGATAAACTAGGAGTAGTGGGTAGATGGAACTTTTACATTTGGTTGCCCTTAACAACTGTATTGTGTAATTGCATTTATTTATATTATATGTACATGTTCATACTTGTACGAAATTTCACTATATGTCTATAACTTGTAGCATAAATGCAATTCCAACTACAATGAAGATTTTGTGCTGCAACTAGAGAAGGAATTGGTCCAAGCCCGTCTGAGTGAAGCTGAGTCTCAGTGTGCACTAAAGGAGATGCAGGATAAAGTCCTGGATATAGAGAAGGTGAGGACAATATAAATACTGTCATTCCCAAATTAGAGGGGACATTTTGATGGATGTGCTTATTGAACAGTTAAATTGGACTTGGTGTTTTTATACATTGGATATCTTATATATTAGTTACTAAGAGAGGAAAGGAGAAAGGATATAAGATTCTTAATTATTTATTGTTGTCATACTACTCAAAGCCCCATTTTTAAGGGTAAAAAAAAAAAAAGGATTAGAGCCCTTTTAGAGGGAGATAACCAGGGTAATTTTGATATGAATAATATTTAATTATTGAAGAAGAGAAACTTAGGGGATACATAATAATGGTTGTCTTCAAATATTATATCTTCATCTGCAAGAGGTAGGATATGACTAATACATAAACATTTCAGAAAAAAATTAATCTGTTACTGTTAAAACTTTCCAAGCTACTGTAAGCCACCTCAGGATGTGGGAAGATCTTAGCCTAAAGTATACTTACAGAAGCTAATTTACTTCTTTTCAAGGTGACTAAAGAACTTTAAGGATCAGATAAGAAATGCTTTTAGGTTTCTTAACAGTTCTCAAACTTGAGAGTCTATGTTCTCGATCACAAACTCTGAATATCTTTTTTTGTCATCTATGAAATTATTGGTGGCTTGGGCTCTATGTTAAGTTTGTTCTTTTCACTATTAGGTAGTATCTAGCTATTGAATCAAAGCCTTAGAAATAATGAACATGACAGCCTCAAGTTCATATTTCTTAATGAAATCAAGCAGGGTGTAACTACCATCAATAGTGGAATAATTTTGCTAGAAATATGCTTGCTATTTTTATATTATTTTTGGAGAATTTATTCTCCTATTTGTTGAGAAAAAGCCAGCAAGAATACTATAAAAAAATGCATAACAGAATATTTGGTTTCTGGGGTGCCCGGGTGGCTCAGTCGTTTAGTGTCTGCCTTCGGCTCGGGTCATCATCCCGGGGTCCTGGGATCGAGCCCCGCATTGGGCTCCCTGCCCGGAGGGAAACCTGCTTCTCCCTCTCCCACTCCCCCTGCTTGTGTTCCCGCTCTCGCTGTGTCTCTCTCTCTCTCTGTCAAATAAATAAATCAAAAATCAAAAAAAAAAAAAAAAGAATATTTGGTTTCTAAGTTAGAAATACTTTGGGTACCATAATGTAGATAAGAATCTTGATTTTTCAGTGAATATTTGGTAGAAAGAAATGTCCTTGGATCCAGTTTAAAAATTGCCATTTCTTAAATAGCATTTTTGGTATTTCTGTTATAGAGTAGAAAGGAAATTAGAAGGCTTCATGCTTCCTGTGGTTAATTTCTTCATGCAGGATTCTCTTTTTATGCATATGCAGTAAATTTCTGGTATTCAACTGAGAAAATATTTAGTCCATAATAAAAATGTGTAGTTGGCAAGAATAACTTTATTCATGATCTCTGTGGGGTTAAAATCTTCATGTCCTACCATGAAATATTTTAGAGTTATAAAATTTCATAGATTCAATACTTGAAATCTCAGTAGTACCTCAGTTGACCCAAGGAGCTTTTACTAGGGCATAATTTAGGATCTCTTGGTCATGGCCCAGGGCAGTGTAATAAGGGCTACCCTTTGTCCTAAGGTGGGTTTTTCAGTAGGATAGGAGATTAGTCTAAATCTTGTACTTCTTTCAGCAAATATTTAGATCACCTTGGTGTTAATCTCTTAATCCTGATATAAATAATAACTAATGTTTAAAGATTTTATACTCCTTTCCAAAGTGACATGCTGAAAAAATATAACAAAACAGTCTTTGGACTATTCTTTTCCATAAATCTTTAAAATATAAATTATGTCCATGCTTTGTTTGGAGTCCTAATCAGAGGTTAGTAAGCTTATTGCCGTGTTGAAAAACATTTTAATCATGTTGCTTTAAAACTCTGATTACTGTTTTATTAAGCAAAGCACAGTTAGACTTTTTGTGTCCTCAAAATTAAGTACAAGTACCCTCATACATTCCTGGTAGAAATGTAAAACAGTAAGTCTGCTTTGGAAAAGCTTGACAGTTTCTTAAAAGTTAAGTGCAGAATTAGCATCTGATCCAGCAATTCTGCTCCTTAGTATAAACTCAAGAGAATTAAAAATATAGGTCCACACAAACATTTTTACACAAATGTTCATAGCATTTTCATAATAGCAAAAAAGTGGAAACAACCCAAATTTCTGTCAGCTAATGAATGGATAAATTAAAAAAAAATTTAGCATGTACACACAATGGAATATTACTTGTCAATAAAAAGGGATGAATCTTGAAAACATGCTAGGTGAAAGAAGCTAGTCATAAAAGGCCACATATCATGTGATTCCACTGATATGAAATGTCCAGAATAGACAAATCCACAGAGACAGAAAGTAGACTAGTGGTTGTCAGGGGCTGGGGGAGGGGAAATGTGGAGTGACTGCTAATGGGTATAGAGTTTCATTTTGGGGCAATTAAAATGTTCTGAAATTAGATTGTGATGATGGTTGTACAACCCTGTGAATACTCTTAAAACCATTGACTAGTGTACATTAAAAGGGTAAGTTTTATGGTTTGTGATTTATATCTCAGTAAAACTGTGTAAAATTAAGTATAATTACATATGGGACAAAATAGCTCTTACTACATATGTTTTATTTTATTTTATTCTTTAAATTAAAAAATTCCAAATTATATTTTCTCTTGCTTTAGAGAAACAACTCCTTTCCTGATGAGAATAACATTGCAAGGCTTCAGGAAGAGCTCATTGCTGTGAAACTGAGAGAAGCAGAAGCTATTATGGGATTGAAAGAACTTAGACAACAAGTCAAGGATTTAGAGGAACACTGGCAGGTATATCATTATATTTTGTATATTTTTTAAAAAGCAGGTGAAGCCTGAATATCCAATTTGTGTGAGTTTGAAGTAGCTGATGATCAAAACTAGGATTTGAGTTTAAAATGAGAAAGACTCTTTAAATGTAAAAATCTGAGAGCATTTATAAGTTGAAAGTACCTTTAAGCTGTTTCTCCCTTTTTAATTCATTTAATTAAAAAAAAAGATAAAATAGAGATCAAGTCATGTTTTTGTTATTGTATCATTGTGATTTATATAACTTCTCCTAAAGAATGAAAAGAAAATTTCCTTTTATATAGGACATATTTCTTCTGTTGATATTAAATCCATTAGTTAGTATGAAAGAGTAGAAGGGTGACACTAACATAAATTTGTCTATACATTTGTAAACTCTTTTGAAAATTGGTTATCTCACAAAATCAGGCATTTATATGCCTGCAAATTTATTCACGTATGAGGGAAAGTGTTGCAAGGAACTAAAAAAACCAAAACAAAACAAAACAAAAAAACCCAGAATCTAGAAGAGACAGATCAAGAAGGGAGAGAGGAAAGAAAAAAACACTACATACCATTTCAGAATAGTGACTTTGGTTTGAATTTGGGGTGGGGCTACATCTAGCAAAGACTGAAATTAGTCCTTAACATTGCCACACCTTTTTTTTTTTTGCCCCCAGAAGTGTCAGGCAGCAATAAACTGGAAATTAAAAACAAAACAAAACTGATGCTTCACCATGGATATTTTGAGAACATTCCTAATATTGCTTCCTTAATTCATGAATGGCCCCATTTTTTCTTTTCTTGGGATTTCATTAAAAATGTGGAAATATCTCATAATAAATTTAGGGTGAAAATTGCATTCTTTACAATAATCCACAGTATAAACTGATTTGAACTATATCTGAGCTTGTATTCCAGATCTGCCACTTATTGGCTATATTGACCTTTCTGAAGTTACTTAACCACCACCATTTCCATTTTCTGACCTGTATAATGGCAATAATAGTGCCTAACTTTTAAGGTTTTCTGGGGATTAAATAAAATAATGTATATACAGTGCTAAATATGGTACTGGGCATGAAATAAGTGCCAGGAAAGTTAGCTCTTATTTTGATACTGGGAGTATTTGTTGCAATATAAATTTTTTTATCTTTTAGCGCCACTTAGCTCGTACTACTGGGAGGTGGAAAGACCCACCTAAGAAAAATGCTGTGAATGAGTTACAGGATGAACTGATGACCATTCGACTTAGAGAAGCTGAAACTCAGGCAGAAATAAGAGAAATAAAACAAAGGATGATGGAAATGGAAACACAGGTATGATGGGAAAGCCCAGTAGCTTTAAAAAATACCATTAGCATGGAGCACCTGGGTGGCTCAATTGGTTAAATACTGGATTCTTGATATTGGCTCAGGTCATGATCTCAGGTCATGATCTCAGGGTTATGAGATCAACCCCCACATTGGGTTCCATGCAGGGTGTGGAGTCTGCTTAAGATTCTCTCTCTCCCTCTCTCTCACTCTGCCCCTCCCACCCCCCTCACACACACTCACTCTCTCTAAAAAAAAAAAAAAATCATTAACAGATCAAAAGTTTATGCACAGATTATATCACCCTAGAATAGAGCTAAGAGATGGATATATGGAACTGTCTAGATTGTAATTTCCTAGCACAAAGAAAAAGGGCTAAAAATTATAGTCTTTGATATCAGAGATTTAATGTCTTCTTTGACCCATTCAGCAAAGTTTAAGCAAGTCATAAAACTACATTTAACTCTGTTGCCTTGTTGCACAACTTGAGAGGAAATATTCATGGAGAGCAAAATTTCTTAACCTTGACTCTATTAAGATTTTGAACCAGGTAATTCTTTATTTGGGGGACTGGCCTGTACATTGTAGGATGTTTACCAGCATCCCTGTCCTCTACCCACTAGATCCCAGTATCACTGTACTCCCCACCCCAGGTTGTGATGACCAAAAGCATCTCCACACATTGCCAATGTCCCCTTGGAGTAGAATTGCCCTGGTTGAGAACAATTACTGTAGACTGTAATGTGAATGATGCTTCCTTATGTGTAATTTGGTGACTCTGAGCACTTAATTCCAAAATTATACTTCTTTCTTCTCAAGTCTCCCCTTTCTGTAATGAATTCTACCTTAAATACACTTGATTTAAGATCTGCAAAACCCTTTTTATGGAACTCATTTGCATTATAAACCACATTTGATTTTTATGTGGTACATTTGTGTGGACCATATTCTGTATTCTCTGTAATGTTATTTGGTTTTCAAAATATTTAGTCAGTAGGGGGCATAGTTAACTCATGTATCATTCTGTATACCTATGTGCAAAATGATCATCCAAACTTGAACATGACAACACGAATCTGTAAATCCTTTAGTTTAAATATATCTTGCTTTACATTGTTCAAAGTTATATTCTTATATTTTTCATTGTAATTAAAAATAACAGTAAGATTATGAAAAGTAGAAATCTAGTTTTTTTAATGGGAAGTTTTATTTTATAACAGATTTTATCTTCGTGTACTTATTAAAGATGCAAACACAGCTTTTAAGCCAATGTTCAGGATTTCTTTCTTTTTTTCTTTTTTTAAGACTTTATCTACTTATTTGAGAGAGAGAGAGCTGAGACAGCACAAGCAGGGGGAGGGGCATAGGGAGAGGGAGAAGCAGGGTCCCTGCTGAGCAGGGAGCCCCACAAGGGGCTCTATCCCAGCCGCCCCCAGATTTTATTTAAGAGTGATGAATGAATCAAATTCACAAACATCATTTTGAGAGCTTTTGAATACAAAGCACTGTCCAGCCATCAGAGAACTTAATACCTGAGAAATCAGGCGTGCACAAAACTACATTTAATATAATTCACTATATGACATGATGGTTATTAACTAATCATTTCATATTATATGTAAGTCAAGTCATTATGCTGTACACCTTAGACTTACACAGTGCTGTATATCAATTATATCTCAATAAAATTGAAAAAATGTATAATTCAGAAATTGGTAATTAAAGAGTTCAATGAAAACTGCTGTGGAAAATGGGAGGGCAAAATTAATTCCAACTAGATGGTTTAGAGAAAGACTTCCTAAGGAGTTTGTATTTTGAATTGTACCTGATTAAGTGTGATTTTGGATGGATTTTGCTGGAAGAGGAATGGCATACGGCACTTTTCCCTAAATGCCAGTGCTTGAACTGATGATGGTCCATATTGCGCATCCAGATTAAGAGATTTGTCCTTGTTGATATTTTTCAGTTCCTTCATTTTAGTGCCTTTCAGAAAATACCACCTAGGAAGTACACCTTAGTTTATTGAGCCACACTCTTCTTTCTGTGTACCAGTTTTTGCTCTTACAGATAGTGCTGCTCGGAACATTCTTGCACATGTTTCCTTGTGACTAGCTCTAAGAATTTCTTCAGGACAGGGATTCTTATCTTTTTTTTTTTAATATTTTATTTATTTGACAGAGACATAGCCAGAGAGGGAACACAAGCAGGGGGAGTGGGAGAGGGAGAAGCAGGCTTCCCGCAGAGCAGGGAGCCCGATGTGGGGCTCGATCCCAGGACCCTGGGATCATGACCTGAGCCGAAGGCAGATGCTTAACGACTGAGCCACCCAGGCGCCCCTCTTATCTTTTTTTTATACCATGAACTCCTTTGGCAGTGTGAAGCCTCTGGACCTTTCTCAAAATAATGTTTTTTAATGCATAAAGTAAAATATGTAAGATTGCAAAGCAAACCAGTTATATTGTAGTACAGTTCTCAAAATACTGAAAAACAAACAAGTGTACGATATAGCACACATACAGAGACATACACAACACATTCACATGGCTAGATTCAGGGTTGTTTTTTTGTTTTAAGATTTTATTTATTTGAGAGAGAGAGACAGATAGTGACAGAGATAGCGAGAGAGAGCACAAGCAGGAAGGAGAGAAGCAGGCTCCCGCTGAGCAGGAACCCAACGTGGGGCTCGATCCCAGGACTCTGGGATCCTGACCTGAGCCAAAGGCAGACGCTTAACTGCCTGAGCCACCCAGGCGCCCCAGGATTCAGGTTTTTAATATTTGGGATTTTTCGTACCTAAGTTAAAATGTACTATAGTTTTTCTTTTGGGGGAGACTCTTACCTAGTTTCAGAACAAGGTTATAATAAGCTCATGGAATGAGTTTGGTTGTATTTTATCTTTTTTTGTTGTTGTTCTATGAAATTTTATGTAAGATTAGAATTACCTCTTACTTGAATATTTGCTGGAATCCATTCCTTTAAACAGTGTTATCTTTTTGTTTCATTCTGTGGGAATAGTAACTATTGATCCTACTTTTTGAAGGTTATAGATCTTTACAGGTTTCCTGTTTTTTCTTGAGTCTAGTTTGGTAAAATACGTTTCCCTAGGAGACTGTCCATTTCATCTGAATTTTCAAATTTATCACTTAGGGTTGTTCAGAGTAATTTTTTAAGAAGTATCTTTTCTTTTTACTGGATCAATATTTGTCTCTTTTTAAATTTCTAATAGTGTTTATTTGTGCCTTTTTAAAATTTTCTTGTCAAGTTTTGCAGAAGTTTGCCAATTTTTTAGAGGCCTGCCATTGTTATTAATATTTCTAAAGACTGGGTTTTTAATTTTTGTTGGTCCTCCATGTTGTACCATTGTTTCTGTATAATTTAGTTCTGTTCTTTATTATATCCTTTAAATATGTGTTTCTTGGGTTTCATCTTTTCCCCCTTTCTTTGTACTCCTACCTACTATGTTTTCTTTTCTAATATAAGTATATTTTTTGTTCTTCAGTTCCATACTTTTTGACTTTCTCGTTGATTGCTTCTTTGACTCAAGAGTTGTTTACAAGTGTCTTTTATTTTTCCAGATGTATAGATTTCTGGTTCATTAGTAGTTTATATCATTATTTTAACTAAACTGCTCCGTGGTCACAGAATGTAGTCTGTAGAGTCTTATTGATATTAGATCAAACTTTTTTTTTTTTTTAAGATTTTATTTATTTATATATCAGAGAGAGAGAGAGCACAAGCAGCGGGAACAGCAGGCAGAGGGAGAAGCAGGCTCCCTGCTGAGCAGGGAGCCCGATGTGGGACTCGATCCCAGGACCCTGGGATCGTGACCTGAGCCGAAGGCAGACGTTTAACTGACTGAGCCACCCAGGTGTCCCTAGATCAAACTTCTTAATTATTTAATGTATCTTAATGTATTTAATGTATTGTTTGATCTTCTATATCCTTTCTAGTTTTTGTGTGTGTCACCTTATCTTTCAAATGCTAAATAGTAGATATCTTCTATTGTGATTGTGGATCTGTTTATTTTTCCTTAGAATTACGATAATTTCTTTGGCTTAAAATATTCTGAGCACCTTTTAGAGGGACATACAAATGTATAATTGTTATTTCTTTTGTGATAAAATGAATCTTATTATGTACTGACCCTCTTTATCCTTCAGGATGCATTTTGATTTAGTCTATTTGTCTTAATACAGTTATCTAAGCTGTTTATTGTTTAGTATTTGCCTTACATATCTTTTTCCATCTTTTTAATTTCAACCTATTACATCTCTGATAAACTGCATATAAGTGGATATTTTTAAAAATCCAATCTCACAAATGGTTGTACAACTCCGTGAATATACTAAAACCACTGAAGTCTAGGTATACTTTAAGTAGGTGAATTTTATGATGTGTATATCTCCATAAAGCTATAAAAATGCAGTCTCAGTCTCTTTTAGGTGTCATATGTAGTCCATGTTTAATGATTCAATTTGGATTAGTATCTATCACCTTGTTAGCTATTCTCTTTTCCATCTGTTCTTTCTTTTTTCTTCTTTCTCTTGGATTTGAGGCATTTATTAGAATTCAATTTTATCTCCACAATTGACTTATTTATACTCCTTAACTTTTTGGGTTATTTTTGTTTGTTTGTTTGTTTTTACTGGTTGCTCTAGGATTTTCAGTATACATCTAATCAGAGCTTGTCTTCAAATAATATTGTACCCTTCACATATAGTATAAGGACCTTACAACAGTATATTCTCAGTTCTTCCCTCTTCCTTTGTGCTATTGTTATATATTTTATTTTTACATAGAGTACAAACATGTCATATGTGCTACTAATTTTGCTTTAATCATTTACCTTTCAGAGTAATTTTAAAAATTTTTAATGAAGTTTTTTTTCCCTTCCATTCATTTTTGGCGTTCTGTTTTTTTTGTTTTGTTTTTTATAGATCCATGTTTCTGTCTGATGTTGTATTCCTTGTGCTTGAAGAACTTCCTTTAACTTTTCTTTTACTGAT